AATCAATTCAGTAGGCATGTCAGCAAATGACCAATCGGCAAACTCAATTTGTCCCAAAGGTAAATGTCCCTTGCCTGCGGAGCTTGGCTGCAGCTGATCAGGGTGTATGCTCGAGTATGAAGTCTCAACCGTCTGCGGACAGTGCGCACCATTTCCGCACGGCTGACAGGACGCTCAAATCTGTGGGAGCCTTAAGTCGCACAAAGACTTGACATTTTGTTTTTTATGTCAGATGCCGTACCTGAAGCAACCACAGACCACCGAGCTACCACAGCCCTCTGTGTGGAGCAGAGAGCTGCTATTTAGGGCACCCGGGGGAGCATATGGTGGGGGTTAAGGGCCTTGCACAAGGGCCCAGAGTGGGGAAAATGAGAGTGGAGGCAGGTGCGGGTGCTTCACCTTTCCCACCCAGATTTTGGTGTTGTCAATACTGGGAGTTGAACCAGCTATCTTCCGATCACAGGCCCACCATCTCTAACCTCTGCGCCACCGCTCCCAAACTAACCTATCTACACAGAAGCCTCAAATCAGGTAGAAAATTAAAGAAAAACCAAGAAAGTGCAAAAAATGTACTTTTTGTCATTATAGTATATACAAATTAGAACTCCTTGGGTCAAGAAATGTCTATTTAGATGTCTACATTTTACAAATTGGACAAATACTGTGGAAGACACGAGAAAAACTGTGATTTCCACTTTGGGTGGTGGCCATCTTGAAGAAATGGCCGCCATCTTGAATTTTTGCGTGGCCAGCGTTCTATTTTGATTTAGCTACGCTCAAATGAGTACTTGTGCAAAATTTGCTGCTTGCAACATACTTGAAAAATTATTTTACAATTTTCTGTAACCTGCTGCACTAACTGGCGTTACTGTAAACAAAAGCAGGAAATGGGCAAAAATCCTGAATCATAAAATAGTCGCTGAAATTAGCACTTGTCAAAACTTTCAAAATGTTTGTTGTGGTGCTGTATTAGCCCTGTATTAGTAGATGACATAAGCACGTGGTGCTGCAATTTGTTCTTTAGGTGTGTATGCCTTGTGTGTGGAGTGGGGGTGGGGCAGGCTTCTGCCTCCTTCTTGGCTCTCACTCACATAGCTTATATGAATGCCTCTACCAGCACTTTATACCTGCTGGATGATGTTTACCATGGAGCTTTGAGATTCACCACAGGCAGTAAACCTCTCACCCATCATTGCAATTTATACTCTGATTTAATGTCCATTGTTACAAATCCATAGACTTTTACATTGATAAATATTTATTAAATATCAATCCTCTACCTGGTTCCATCATATTTGTCTTGTTACATGACATAAACAGCACCATCGCAGCCATCGCTCTCAGGCTTTCATCGCCTACAGCGTTCCACGAGTGCAGCTTGAGCTGGGTAAGAAGGCGTCCTCACACTCCGCCCAGATGGAACACATTTCAGCAGGACCAGAAGCTGTCCAGTAAACCCTCAAGAAATGTAAACTTTTTATGCAAGAATTGGAGATCACATCCATAAACACTTGCTTCAGTTGTTTAATTGTTCAGTTGTCATTACTTTTATGTCAGTGTAGCTTCTTGTATAGGAAATTTTTGGATATACTTGTTCTGATATGTATATGTTATAATGTCTTCTTTTGTTGTATTGATTTTACTGATTGTGTCGTTTTATTTTTGTATAACAGGTCTGTCTTGCTAATGAGTTGACACGTGACTAACCTATAATAAATGAAATATCCCAAAACATTCAACAGCGGTACTATTGATACTAAAACATCTATGCTTATTGTAGAGGTCAAAGGTCACGGCCAGAATTAGAGTCAGAGAGTCAGAGTTTCTTTATTGTCATTCGCACCTCATGTGGTACATGTGGTGGAGCGAAATTATGTACACAAGGTCCCAGTTACATACAACAATAAAATGTATAAGAAAAACAGTAATAAGATCTAAGATATGAACTAAGAAAAACATCAACTAAATATACACTAAGCACTCATAACATAAAACATTGAACATCAGCACAAACATGAA